GTCAAGTTACTTGTGAAACCGAAGCCCAAGGTGAAATTGTGTGTACCTCATTTGTATGCGTCTAACAAACGACTGTGCAATTAGGGAGGTGTTATAAATAGGATGTGGTGGAGATGCTTCGGCTGCTCAAGTTTCCTCGATTTTATAGCGAGTACCCAACCGAGATTTGCTGCTCTCTAATTTGGCCGTTCGGGCTAACCAGCTGACGCCTAGCTGAAAAGAGTTATGTTCCTACAAGGCCACAGAAGCCCTAGTATTCAGCCTCGGTCTCCTCCGGCTCGCGGAGAACTCTCTGTACCATCAGCAACTTCAATCCCAGCCTTTCGGCCAAGCCTCATCTATCAAACGCGGGCTGCGAGCGAGCGAGAGGAAGCTCCCAGATAAACATACAGCAGCGCCTCAACTCCTAATCGCTCGGGGCTTCCGCTTCCAGGCCCTATAATTAGAAGTCCTTCTTTTCCTTGTATTCCCAGTTGACGCAAATGCTTTTTGTGGCTTGGCACCTCATTTAGGGCGTGGGCTTTTTTAGTTTATGGCCAGGCCAGAGTCTGGTTTAGTCTTCTGATACTGCATAAATAGCTCTTAACCCACAGTCTACATCTGTACTCGTTTTTCCTTTTATGCATATATTCTCGGTGTTTTTTTAATGGTTCTGTCCTGAAAGGAGCTCACTGTTGCCCAAACAGAACGTGTGAAAAGTCGGGAGCTGTATGTTAGGACAAGTGTATCTGTCAGGTAAAACAAGGCTTTGGTGGTGTCTCGTTTTGTTTTTCCGTCTAGGATATCTGTTCCTTGTAAACTGAATTTTAATCATCTCTGTGGACTTGAATAACCACACAGTAAAACAATCATTAATTTAACCTAGCTGCACCCCTCCTATTATGGATAAGCAAAATCAGATTTTTTTTTTGCAGTGATGCATACTAAGTAATATCTGCTTTACACATAAATTTCCACTGAGTTCTGTGTATGCAAGGCTTTCAATTGATTTCAGATGTTATCTGTTAAACAGGGATTAATGCCAGTTTGAAAAATAAGCAGGAAATCCTTGAGAATTATTCACTTTTCATCTGTGATGATTTGTACATCAAGTACATCACAAGAGAAAACATTTTGGACTGAACTTGTGACAACTTTAACCAATATTTCCATCTAAACAACTTTTTTTTTGAGGAGGGTAGAGCGTCCCAAGGCCTTTTCAAAAGGCGAGTTGATGTTTCCTGTGCTTCAAAGTGAAAGTGAGATAATGACCGAGATTGGAGTTCAGGTTTCTCTGCTGGGGAGGGATTTCTGCCGGGGAGATGGAGAGAGAAACGAAATGGCTGAGCTGTAATAATTGAAACCCAGCGTTGTTCAGCGTGAAGAAATGAGAGCTGGAAAATACCGCACCAAAACCTGAGTCAGACGTTGTAAAACATCCCTGATTTATTGTTCGAATAACAGTAGTAAGAAAGATATTTAAAAGCGCTGTTTTATAAATACACATTCTTTCACATCTGTGGTGTTGTGCTTGGGACTTCTGTGTTGATACAAGTTCTGCAAGTATGTGTTTGCATTTCAAATGCAAATGTGAGTATGAAAGGTCCTCCTTTAATTTACTGAAAAATAGGCGCTAATATAAGCAAAGGGCCTGTTTTCCCTCGGTTTTTATCTAATAAAATGCATTTATTCCAAACGGTGACAGGCAGCAGGACTGTAGGTTAGCTATGCAAAACGGCCAGATCAGATACCACCCATCTTTCTGGTTTTAAGTTGATTCCTTTCCACTCACAGATGTCTTATCTTTCACCTCTGTATTCCTTCAAGTTAGCAAAACCAGAAAAAAAAAATTAACTGATGACTAACCCGATCCCCCCCAAAAAACCCCCCAAACCCCCAAAACCTGAAGGCAGTGCACTTTAATGTGGACCCAAGAACTCCGTGCATCATCTGGAACTGATCAGAGCTGCAGAGACAGGCACATTGCACGGCTGCCTTAGTTCCGTCCCCGTGTGCTCCACCAAAAGAACAACCAGGTAACATCAAACGCTCTGTGGATTTGCGTGATGCGCTCTGTCACGGATGGACCCAACTGAGGTCTCCAGCAATGCCCTGCTCGGGTTAAACAGAGATTACAGACTTGGAAAGAAAAAAAAATAAAATCTTGGTGAGGAGAAGGGTGAAATTGTATCATGTCTGTGTGTTGCGGAGTTTATCGCACCGTCCACAGACACCGGCGTTTTTCACCAATGTTGGAAACGAGATACCGGTTAGCTAAACAACCCATAGATTTGATAGATAACACAGTATGGTAATTCCTGTGTTTTCACTGGCTCACGATTATTACGCAGCTTTCTGTCTCCAGCTTCCAGACAGATTTTTGGCTCGTTGGAAGTTTTTTTTTTACGATCTTCATTGCGCTGTGCCATGTGATGGGATACACGTGAAGAATGCTGTGCTCAGATCGCTGGGCGCACTCAGCTCTGCGTTTGTATTTATAAAACACTTCTAGCACTTTGGGGGAAGTAAAATAACATCTAGGTTTGCTGAGACCGTCTGTTCACTGCTGAGAGAAGCCTTCTATATTCAACTCTTCCAGCTTCTCCTTCTCCAAAAGTCCTTTCCATCTGGAATAAGAGAAAACTCAAAAAGACTAGACGCACACTCGGCTTCTATATAACGCTATCTAATGCATGAGGAGAGGCAAACATGGGAATATAGAAAATAAATCCTTACTGTGTTAAATTAGATCTTTTGGAATATGCTTACTCCAGTAATAGCGGCAGCCTAACTCTAGCACACAAACCCCTACTTGCTTCCAGGTTTCTCCCCTGGAAGTGCTATATATTATTGAGGACCGCACACTTCACTAGAAGGGAAGTGTATTCTGTGATGTTTCAGAACAGAATTAATGCAAATGGTGTGCATAATCCCACACTAAAGACTTGGCTGGCTTGCACTTGAGCAACTGTAGCTGTATTTCCTATCAACACAGTCACTACAAATCAAGGAAATTGCCAGTTAAGCCAACATTAACATCCAGACCAACCTCAGCTCGCATGCCTTACCGCCCAAATGTAATACCCAAATGCACTCACGGATTTCTGAGCTCCATAACAAACTCTCTTTCATTTCTAACACTCGGGATCGGAGTAACAGCCTGTAACGGTAAAAGTATGTCTACTGGAGGGAATCTTGCTGAGGTCAGATGTAAGATTTTGCATTGGTGGGATTTCGAGGAAATGGATGTGTGCAGGGTGGGTGGCCTCGCGCTCTGGCCAAGCCCTGCCACCGCCCGTGGTCAAGCTGAGACGGGAATTTGTGGGCAATTTTGTCTCTAAACGCAATTGCGTTGCTATTCAATTTTGTACCTTCCTACTGGTGGGCCTCGAAACCTTGGAAGGATTTGTTTACCTTCCTGATCGTTAGTTTGTGCGAGCTGCAGTGAGGAGAAAGCGAGGCATCCGCCTGTTGGTGCTCACAGGAATTCTGTGACGATGCTGCGTGAGCCTCTTTGGAGGTTTCAGGGCCGCCACGTGTGCTCACAGAGCTGCTTCGGCCTCGAAGGAGGAGGGGAGGTGCCGGGCAGTGACACCATGCCCAGAAGGCCAAGACTTTGGCTGCTGAAATTTTTCTATTTGGGCTTACGGGAAGGGGGATTCCAGGACTGCCGTGGAGGGAGGACTCTCAGGATATCCATCCAGAGATGTTGGAACGGTGCTTCAATCAAAAAGTTGATTAAACTTTACGCTGCTCAGTACACAAAAGGACTTTTCCCCCCCCAGTTTAATTCTAAAATTTTCAAAGTGAGAGCTTTCAGACTTGTGTGTGCATGATTAGCAGCGGTGAGCAGAGGAGGGAAAGCTGAATCGTGTGTAAATAGGCTGTGAGAGCAAGCGTTTTTATGATAGAAATAAGATAATCATTTATCCTTTGAATGGACATTGTGTAAAAATGCGGAGACCTAAGTTCTCTTCCTGAAGGATAAAAGATTTCACTTGTGCTTTATGCAGAGAATCAACACAACAGAGCTGATTGTCTTTAATGCATGGGTACTGTGAAAATTATTTAGAAGGCACTTCAGCTATTAAGCTGCTAAGTTAAACTGATCTTAATTAAATGGTGGAGGATTACCTTGGATGAAAACTTCTCAAATTTCCTTGCTAAGTGTGGTAATATGGATATTTGTATAGAGAAAGGTGAATGTGAAGTTTATTTTCTGTAGTCCTAAATTCTGCCATGATGCCATACTTTTCTTAAATGTACAGAAGTATTTACTTTTTGGTATAAAAATATGAATTTTGATGCCAAACTGACTTCAAATATGTTTGTAAGTGTTTAAAGACTGGGTTAGGGACTGACACATCTTGGGAGAAAAAAGTAAATAGCACATGTAATTCTGCTGATCTTCTAATTTAATAATTTCAGTAGATCCATCAGTGACCTATTTTCAATGAAGTTAGTACCTAATTTAATATTTCACTTAAAAGCTCTCAACTCTGATTTGCTGCCTATCAAGCAATAAATCAGGCAGTTTCTCTTATACACATTTATAAGAAAGATGCTTCTTCAGGATTGGGTTGTTTTGGCTGGGTTTTGAGAATATCTCTCCCAAAAATTATTGTTGTGGCAACATCAATCTTTTTATACTGGCTCTTTCCCAGTGAAGAGCATTTTGGGGTTTTGCTCTAACATTAATCACTTCAATGCTTCATAGTGGTCACACGAGTTCTCAACCTTAGTTAGAATATTCCCAGATTTTTCAGTTGGCTTTTACAGATTTGTGCTGTAATACTGACGGTGTAATACTGTTAATGTGATTTTGGTTGATGTTCTGATTAATTTTTAGGAAGTGAATCCCTTTCTGTTCAGTAATTTTCTGCAACTGTTTTCTTTTGTGTCCAGAAAGCAAAATGTAAGCCACGCTGGCTTTTTTAGGTAGACGTTCTTAAGTCTTCTTTTGCAGTGATTAATCTCTTGTGCTTTTGTGTTTCTTTTTTCTTTTTCTTTTTTTTACCCAGGGATGTTGCTGGTCACTACTGACACATTAGGCCATGATTTCCATGTTTTTCAAATACTGACACATCCTTGGTCATCATCACAAAGTGCCGTCCATCATTTGTATACACTTCACAGGGGAGAGACTGAAGCCAAAGTAAGTTAAACTATTTGCTGAAGAATAATCCCCCGACACCTTATACATTTTGTGTATGTTGGCACTTTAGTGTTTGTTTCAGCACACAAAGAGCCTTTCTTATATTCTAGCCACAGAAAGGATAAGAGCACAGCGTTTAACCTGGACAATAATAAATTCTTGCCCTTTACAATGAGGTGCTGTCAGATTTATTCCGTTATGACACTACCCCCAAAGAGCCCAGATTATTAGCTGTGTTTGTACTTAACCTTTTCTCATGTAACATGTTAAACATTTGTCTAGTGCCCATGAAGCAACTGTCAGGGTTTGCTGCACTTTGGTGGTACAAGCCAATGAAAGAGCTGAAAGAAGAGTTAATCAGACGTCTCTGATTAACTTTCATCCATGCTTTGGCAGAGTGGGGGAACCTGTTGGAGACTACAGTGAGACAGATTTAACTTCCTGGTTGAAAAAGCCTACTCGTAAAGACTCAGGACTAAATGAGGCTTTTAGCATAAGATGAAAAATTCTGAAATTATATTTTAAAAAATGCTTGGTAAACTGATTGCCTGATAAAGTGGAAACAAGCGCGAGAGATCACGTCTGCTGCCTTGCTGCGATGGAAGCAGTGCAGCGTGTTATGCCTGAATCCTTCACTGCGATGCTTTTAGGCATCAGGAGAGCCTCACCTCTGCAGCGTTGAGTAACTGTGGAAGAACCTGTTTTAAATACATAAATAAAAATGTCACCACAGGGTAAGAAGTGAGTATTGCACTTGCTGATGCAATTACACACTGAAAGCACGGACTTGTGACAGTCTGGCAGACGTAAACTAGTGTGACAGAGAGAAGCCTCGGGCGCTGTGATTATGACCCCAACACTGGGAGCGTGGGTTATTGTGGTACCGTGACTGTAGCTCCTGCAAACGTTTCTTTTTTTCCTCTGAGTTGTGCGGTTTGCCGTAAGTTTTTGCCTTACCTTTGTAACAAGTACCACCTGAAAGCTTTATTTAATGCAGTAGTGCTTGGTAATGTCTCCATCTGCGTGACTTTAAATTACTGGTAGCTTAAATACTCTAAAGCTTTTCTGCTCCCGTTCTGGAAAAGTGTAATTACTATTATGGGCAGTGGTTTACTATAGGAAAGAATAACCAGTCTGGAAAGTGACAGGAAATTAGGAAAAACTGTCCATATGGGATAATATATGTAGAATCATCGACTAGCCTAGGCTGGAAGGGACCTTAGAGATCATTTTAATCCAGCCTCCCTGTAGTACTTACAAATAATTTTTATAGATGATAAAAAGGGCGTTGAGATCTGTGTGTATACACATGCTCTGGCATCTGTTTGAGCATGTGCTACAACACATTTAATGTTTTGGAGTTGTTTTTGTTCTACTTCCATACAAAACATGGGAAATATCCTATAATCAATATTGAAAACCAAAGCACCAGACTCCAGTCACTAGGAACAAAGATGATGTTCTGTTTTTTTACAGCTGATAAATTTGTTTTCAAGGCATACACTGGAAACCAAACATAACACGATTTAGAAAATAGACCTTTATTGATGCGTGTTTTGGGGGATCTAGTATTAGCATCGCTGTGAAAGCGTGCATTAAAATTCCCAGAATCAACATAGTAAAGTTTTTTCCTAGTTTGCCACATAGTTTCCATTTGGGATGTGAACAGTATAGCTTTTGGAATGGTATAAAATAGAGAAAATTCTAGCCAGTCTGAGGCGCATTGATGGATTTCACAACTCCCTTGATGATTAAACCATCCAGCAACAATATCGCATTGGTACCCGTGATTCTCAATACACATCTATCATTTATAATTTCTACAAACTCTGATGGATGGTTTTCCTTTTTCTTTTGGAATAACAGCACTTGTAGTTCTTTAGTGCGAAGAGTCGTATGTGATGCCGTTCTTTTGTTCCGTGAATTTAATGTGTGAGTAGCATTAGACAGAAATCTTGGAGACCGTTCAGTTTAAAATTCTCAGTGCAGACATTCTGAGGCACACACTGTGGAAGCCTCTGTACCTCCCTTCTTGGGTGGAATAGTATTTATACATTAGCAACCAGCCTTTTTTTTCTTTTTTTTTTCCCCCTCTCTTGGTTTAAAGCTAATTGCATAAAGCCCAATGGTCTTAAAGGTCACCTTCTGTACTGGAGCTATAAAAAGTTCTAATTTGTGTTGATGGACATGAGTGATTATCAGTGTCAAAATTTGTTTAGCTAGGACCCATTATAAGTTGTTTAAACGTTATCATTATGCCCTTTGTAGATGTGCTGTTGTAATGCCCATACTGAAATCATCTGCTCCGTATGTGAGGTTCTGGCCAATAGTGCTTCACCACGCGTTTTCCAAACGTGTGGGAATCCTTCTCTCACAGTCTGACACGTGATTTCTCTTTTCTTACTTTTCGATCAATAAATGTCTTTCTTGCAAATACTCCCTACTGATATTATAAGAGCATTTAGTTCATGGACAAAGAACTGGTGTTCCAGTCTGTCTGAGTTGTAATTTCACCCAGTTCAGAATATCAGCCTTGGAGCGTCTCCTTTCGCAGAATTTCCATTTTTACCTTGTCTTCAGTGGTGGGAGGGCAGGGCAATAGCTTGATTATTCCGCGTCTGTCTCCTGAGAGAAGGTGGCAGGAGGTTCCCTTTGCCATTCCTGTACGGCAGCATCTCAAGTGGATGGATGTATATTAAAGAAGCGAGTGTTGTGATTTAATAATGGTGTTTTCTCATTGATCTGCTGCAATCAAGCAGTGTCTTAAAGTCACCCACATGTCCTTCTGCTGAGTCACAGCTATGAGCTGTACCGTTACTTTGACTTACTGAAACTAAAGAATATATCCTCCATCTTGCATTTATTTTTCCAAATTCTAAACCAAATTCAGGCTTTCTGCAGAGCTGAGAAATTTCAGTCTAAAAGACTGTTTCTACCTTTTCCTGACCATTTCTGAAATGCAGAGGCTGCTTGGAAAGACATCTGTAGGGGGTAAGACAGAAAGAGGACCTCTGTCTCATAAGGAAATTGGGAGGGCAGTGACCATGAAAGAATGTCAAGTGCTCAGATACTTCATTGATTTGAGTGATGAGAGGCCCAGGGTCACAACAGGCAAAGTTCTTTTCTGCAAATAAAGATAGAAGTCACTGTTTCGGTCACATTAAGTGCCACTTACGTTTTAGAACTTTTTCATTTTTAATTTTTTACTTTGCTTAAGAGAACAAAACCAGCATGCTTGATGCACTGTGTTACCTCGTGAAGGTTCACTGCAAGTGCTGGTTGTATTTAACTGTCCCAGAGAGAGAACCGAAGCTCTCCAAGAATCCACACTTGCCCAATTCAGCTGTAAACGGGAAGAATGTGAATGTGCCTGTGGTGCACATTCTGGTTAAGGATACATTTTCTTGTCCTACAGCTCTTGCATTGTAAATCAACACTCATATTTTTACCCAAGAGCATTTTGGGAGGTTTTTAGTAAAGGTATGGCATGTTCTGAATGGAGGAAGCTCATTTACTTGCAGATGAAAGTGAGGCTGTCACCTGATGATCCTTTCTCTTTGATCTGGAATTGTAAACAGAAAAAAAAAATATCCCTGAAAACAGTATTATCTCAACCTAGAACAAATAAACGTAATGATAGCATCAGTGGGCTGGTGGCCAGGGTCCTCTGTAATCTTTTACGCTGTCAGACTTCTGTTATTCAGACTCTTGAGCCGCTGTTGTGAGTGACTTCAGTCAGTGTGGGTAAACACGGGGAACGATAAAACATTCCAGCGCGGGCTGCCACAGAACATGTGCCATTTTACGCTTTTGTAGGGAGTGCAAATGTTTTTGTGCCGTGGTTTCAGAGAGGCTGTTCAGGGTTGGGTCATGTACCTTGCCCAGGTAGTGAAACGTTGGAATAATTTACAAACATTTGATGTAAACCTCCATGCTTAATAGAAATTTCTTCCCATCTTTTGCCCTTTGTTTCTGAGAGGAATCTGGGGACAGCCTTGAAATAATAAAGGTTGATTTAGGGAAGCTGGTCAGTCTTTGATGACAGCAGACAGTAAGAAACTGCTGCAATTAGAAGGAGCGTAACCATTTTGAAGATTAGAGCTCCAAGCAGAGTGGTGTTTGCAATTTCAGTTATTAATAGAGAGCAGCTTCTCTGGCTGAAGGACCCTACATGAATGTCTGACGTTGTTTTTCTATGAAACTGAAATCAGTTTTGACAACTCGAGGAGCCAGAGTTGGGTCTGTGTGGGTCTGATAAATCATATTATGTAGTCCGTGATTTTATTATTTTTTCATTTGTGTTTGTTGCTACATCATTTCCTTAATTTTTTCAACCAAAACCATTCAAATACAGACCAGTTTTCTAATTTATTTCGACCCTTGCCTCCTCAGTACTGCTGCTCTTCCTCATTGCTTAATGATTCTGGGGTTTTATTTCTGCCATCTCCCTGCACAGCGTAATTAAATACTTAAGTCATGTCCTTCAAATAATCGTATGTTTTCTCTGTGACTTTGCATAGTTTGTGTGAAACTGGGTTAAGTTCCTGTTGCAGTAACGCTAGTCCTGCTTTTTGTTTCACTTCACCCGTGAAGTTTAGTTGAATGCAGCAAAACGCACAAGAAAATAAAGGTTGTTTCTGACGTGACTCACCACAACTGAAAATGGAGCATTAGGGAAAAAAAAAGAGTCCTTTGAAGATCTAAATGCATTTTAACAGTTGTTTCTTGTAATCACTATGAAAAGACGTGGTTCTGTGTTGTGAGCTGTTGAATTCTGCACACTCCTCGGGAGTGGATTTGGCTGGGAGACACCCAGTGAAGCTCCTTGTCCTCTCTAAGACAAGAAGTGCCAGTCTGCATCTGAGCATCGTGCGGCAAGTTAGGGTAGTGTTAACTTCGAGAAGCCCTGAAATACAGGGGCTGCCTGTGGGCTGTCGGTCATTCCCAGGAGTGGTGGTAAACAAGGTCACTGCCTGTCCCATGGGAGGGCTTGTGTAATCAGCCCTTCTCCCACTATCCCGTTTTAATCACCGGCTTTTAAAATAAGTTTTCGATGTGCTGCCCTTACTTCTGTTTTGTTTTCTTGCAGTTATGGCTCAAATTATTTTTTCTTAATCTATTTTGTGAATATATTCTTATCAACATTGTGTTTAAATGTGGAGAAGCTGCGGGAATAAGAAAGAAATTATAGCAAAAACTCATAAGATATTTCCATTGCATAAAATAAATGAATGTGTGTCAGCCTTGAAGCCTTCGCTTCAGATTATTTCCTCCAGATTTTCAGAATATCAGAAATAATTTTTTGATCTGTGCAGTCTTGAAAGCTGATCTTCAGTGGAGCTGTTGACACATGACATGTCCTCATGTGACTTCAAATGTTAAATTACTGTCTCACTCAGGTCAGACTCTGAACACAGGGCTACGTTTTCATTCCGTTTTCTGGAGGATTTTGCACCGTAGTGTTTGAAACACAGGGAAATAGGATAGTGGAGGTGGAAAAGAAGCATAGGAGAGGAGTAATTGAACTGAAAAAGTAGTTGACTGAAAAAAGCTGTGGAGGTTAGAAGGGAATGCTTCGATGGAAGCACCTGTTAAGAAAACCTTGCTCAGGCTGTTATTTCCTTTCCATAGAAGCCCTGCAGGATTTCTTTCCAAGTCATGCTAACGCCTGCCAGAATCATTGAAAGAGTCATTCTGGCTGATAGGAAATAGGTGTATTGTCCCTGATTCTGAAAACAGTATGGATAATTTTGTGAGGGTACTGATTTTTTTTTTCGACTAAGTTATCATATTAATACAGAGAAGAGTCAGTAGTAGGCACTTATATAAGAAATGCACCATGTCTGGGCAGCCAGAAACCCTTCTGGGATTGACAAGTACCGTTGAGGATTCATGGAGCACGCTGAGTAGTCTGTAAAAGATGGACAGAATTTCTTGCAGACCTCCTGTATGACCGGAGTCACACAACACCTGGTTTAGACATGGGCGAACTGGAAGAAGCGCGCTGTTATCCTTACAGCATTCTGTGCTTCTTGTAAGTGTGGGCCAGAAAATGCTTTGGTGTTTCTAAAGAGGACCCAGAAGTGTCCTGGGGTTTCACTGAGACTTCGTGATAGGCAAGAAATGTAGCTCAAAGTTTAAAGAACCCGACTGCTCACAAACTACGAAAAAGAAGTGGTGGTAAAGCACTGATGTTCTCACCAAACTATTTAGTGTTGCAGTTTAAAATATCTTAAGGATTCCTGAGCTAAGCAAAATCTCAGGTCTATAATTCTCTTTACTAGCCCAGACAGATGAGGATAGATAAAATTTTGAAATATGGACCCAAGTATAAAATCTGATGTTGACCTTGAGCTATAGAATAAACTTTGCATCGTGAGAGATGTAGTGTACTTTGTACTTTATTAACATACATCTGTAAACACTATGGGGTCTTGATTGATCTTTGGTATCTAAACATTACATCATAATTAGCAACAAATCCAGAAATATGTTATAAATACATGAAATAATAGTACATTAACCTAAAGGACAGCAATAAATTGCAACGCTTAGCATAAACTTGAAAACCACTAATGGGCCACTGTGCAGTTTGTTTATACTGTAAGCAGTCAAGATCTCTGTGCAGTGTAACAGCGTGGTGCAGAACAGCAAGCCCGAAGTGATAATTTATGTTGGTTGGTTTTTTTTCATGGACACACAAAGCTGATTTTTTGAAGTCATTTCTGACGCCGCTGTGATGAGCGTTCTCAGTTATGGGCTCCTTTGCATTGCACAGATGGATTTGTGCTGATTTGATACGGGCACATTTAATTCATGCCCGGGTATGGAACTGGAAATACTCTCTGAATTAGCTTCTTGAGCTGTCTGTGGCACAGCTCCTCATCGGCAATCTGGGAAAGGCGAATGAGGCCGTTTCTGAGACTGGTAGGAGGTACATTGAGTTGCTGCATGTGTAACGGCAGCTTCCAAAATACTTTTGTCACGGCTGAGCCAGGGTTCATAGCTGCTTTCCTATAAATCTTAATTCATTTTACACTTATCTATCAATACTTTTTTTTCTCTTTAATACTGAATCGTAAAAAAACTCTCTTGTTCTCTGCCTTCGTGGTTTCAGTCGTATTGTAAGTCATGATGGCCATGATGCCCACTCCAACTGCAGCGAGTATTTGTGATTGTTATTTTAAAGAGAACGTTTTGGATTACGCTGTTCCAAACTTTCTTCCTGAAGATCAGGAATACTTCTTTCTGTATAATGTTTACACTGAGAAAAAAAACATCCTGTAATGTTTGTTTCCTCGTTTCTTGGCTCATGTTGTCCTATGTCGGCGCTGTTGGATGTGTTTTTAAAACAACCTAATCCTGAGGATGCGCACCGAAAACGGAGTGTTCGCATAGAAACGTACACATGTCTGTTACACGTTCGCGGGGAGATCTGTGAAGTCCCTCCGAGCTCGTTGGGTGTCAGGGGAGAGCGCTCTTCTGGAAGGGAACTGCAGAACAGGGCAGAAAAGGCTTCTGTGGGAGGTAGAGAGTGAGAGAGCAGAACAGCGAGAGGGAAGGAAGGGAGAAGGTGTTTTCTCGAGCCCGGGACAGATAGATGGTTTTGGAGATCAGGAGGGGAATTTAAAGCTGGATCTAAATGGAATACCAGATATTTGGGAGACGATGATGTGCTCAGAGGGGTCACTTCTAATAGGAGGCCGGTTAGCTCAGTCAGTTGAGCGTAGTGCTAACCACGCCAAGGTCGCGGGTTCGATTCCCGTTCGGTCCCCATGAGTTGTCTGATCTAGTTGAGAGGTGGTGTCCCTGGCGGCAGGGAGGCTGGATTAAAATGATCTCTAAGGTCCCTTCCAGCCTAGGCCATTCTAGGATTCTATTATTCTAATGACAAACATGGCTGGTGTTTGTGTTATTAGAAAGTAATAAATAAAAAAAAGGCCTTTGGTAGAATAGGAAACATATTCCAGAAGCCTGGATGACTTTATTATATTGGTGATCTTTCTGTTGTGACCGAGAAGGGCAATCTAGGTGCGGTTCATATGACTGATTTTGACCAGTAGAATTCGCCTCTTTACGCAGCCACTATTTCAATACTCTTGGTGCCATACTTTTCCTCCGACTCCACGGCTTTGGGGATTTTTTTTTGGCTCTCTTGGGGATTCTTTTTTTGGCTCTCGTTAATCCCTGTGGAGGTCTCTAATCCTTTTCGAGCAATCTATTAAGGCGAAACACTTTGTAGGCAAACAAGGAGCTCTTAAGTGCTGCGACTTTATGTCCGTTAATACCAGAACTGCTGAAAGTGCAAAACCTGTCAGGTTTTGAAGAGATGTTGAGCTGTATCATTAGGAAATCATTTGGGTATGTCACTATAATCAAAACGAGCAGGTGCATAGCGCTGGTTTTCAGTTTATCTCTGTAATGCTGATGAAGCATTTTGTGTCGTGACAAGTCTGTCAGGCAAATATCTTGTCACGAGTCACGAGACTTGAAATCCTTTTTTTTTTTATCTCAAAGGCTTCAGGGCTCAGTTGGAAGCGTGCACTTTGATGAATACTTGCTGCTTTTGTCTGGAATAGCTGGAGTGCATTTCTGGAATATTTGTCAAGATTTTATCAGTGTTTACTCCAATTTGAGTACCTAGTGTATTGTAAAACTGGCTTCAGTGAAATCTTAAAGAATTTTATTTAGTTTATGCTGTTTAATAATATAATGAAAACTAATCCTCTGTCTATATGTTTGTTTGCTGTGTTAAATCCCACTTGCATACGTGGGTCCTTTTACACAGCTTTTACCTTTAAAAACAGTTTTGGAGGAATTGGTTTAGATTTTTTTTTCTATGATAAATCATTTTAACCTAGACTACTTGTTTTCTTGAGTTGTCTGCCAGTATGGAGTTGGGAACAAACTTTAATCTCTCTTTTAAAGCATTCCTTCAGGGACAAGAATTTGCTTTCCATCAAAGCGTTGTGTAAAGTACACTTAAAAGATAATTAAATCCTTCTGGACTTCATGTCTGAGATCGATGCAAGGAGTAACTATAGTGGGAAGTATTTAACTGTATTTTTATATTTGCTTCAAGACTGACCATTTTTAGCTAAAGTAAGACTTGTGTTTCTCAAGTGACAGGTGAGTACTCGTGTGTGTAGGATGAAACCTAACTGGGGTCTTTTCTGGGACCTTACTAGCTGATTAATAAAGTTTGTTATGTGTAAAATGGAGTGGGTTTATATGGTGAAACTGCTCAGGTTGTTCAGTTTCTTTTTGACAAAATTTTAAATCCAAAAAAGAGCATAGGTCTGGGGATACCTGGGTGGATGGTTGTTCTCCTGGTAGTAGCTGAGTTAGCGACTATTATAGATGGCTTTTGAAAACTCTGGCTGCTGATTTTTGGTTTAAGTTATGTAGGACATGGTATTTCTGTTGCCTTAAAATACAGTTTGGAGTGCCAGTATTTGTCAAAATCAGGCCCAGTGGTGAGATCTTTCTCTTCTTCTCATCCCTCCCTTTTCCTCTTTCTGGGTAATCTCTAAAAATTTAAGTAAACAAGCAAATAACAAAACATGTAATTGGAATTATTTCCCCAACCCCTTTTAGAACTAAATTCCATTTGAAAATTACACCGAGCGCTTGTGGCTTTCTGTAGTACTTTGCAGCATGTTTTGTTTTTCTAAGTTCAGGCCTGTTGAAAAGAAAAATCTCAGACTGTTTTGAGAAGTACACGAAAGTTAGAACTGGGTGTTATTCTGCAGCTTATAGATGTGCTGAGTATTTACTGAATACTAAGCTCATTGAGATGTATGCAAAATTTCAAGTTATTGCCTAAACCTAGGGGATTTTATCCACAATTCCAATTCAGATTTGTGCTTGTTTAAAACGTCAGAGTCTATTCCCTTTGTTACACGTGTGTACATTGGTGACTACGTTCCCATTTCACTGCTCTGTTTTCTAGGTACAGGATATCTCCTTCAGCCATGACTGTCGTTGGGTTGTGGTCAGCACTCTTCGTGGCACGTCCCATGTTTTTCCAATCAATCCTTACGGTGGCCAGCCCTGCGTCCGAACACACATGTCTCCCCGGGTGGTAAATCGCATGAGCCGATTCCAGAAGAGCGCAGGCTTGGAAGAGATCGAGCAAGAGCTGACATCTAAGCAAGGAGGACGCTGTAGCCCTGTTCCAGGCTTGTCGAGTAGCCCGTCTGGCTCACCGCTCCATGGTAAGTCCTTTTGGGTTTTATTTTTTTTTCTTTTTTTTTTCTTCTCCTCCTTATATTGTCGAGAAACCTTTCCCCTTGGGTCATTAATGCCAATGTCCTCTAAGATGCTTCAGTACCTGCTGTGTAGCTGCCTAACTCGAAGATACCTTTGGAGATGCTGACCTAAGGATCTTCATGGTCTTCCAGCTTGATGTTTCAGGAGTATTTGCTACCAGCCTGAACAACAGGAACATTGATCTTACTGGAGATTGCAAGAATTGATTAGGTTCATTCTGTTTGCCCACACAGTTTGTGCCACTAAACAGAGAGTTTCATAAAATAAGGTGCTGCAAGTCTTGTGCGAAAATATGTAGTATATGCAGATACTGTAGGAATGAGCTAACGTATAAATACTTTGGAAAGATAATTCTGGTTTTGCAACTACTTAAGTAAACTGTGCCGTCACAGATGTGTTAATCATTTCCACTCTCAGCTGAAAGTTTTGGGGTGTTTAGGTTTGAAAAATCGTCATTGTCCCAGGTTCTTCAGTGTTACCGTTGCTATTCTTTTGGCCCTTCTCTTTAATGAGATCTGTATTGGAAGCTGCTTTGTTTAGCTTCAGGACTCACTCCATCCTTACTCCTCCTTTCTGTTAGGTCACAGCTTCCTTTGAAGTGAAAGTTGAAATAGCAGTCTGGGGCAGCCAGCCACTCTTTACCAGGCCGAGGGTATTAAAAATGGCCAGGAACAGTCCCTCTTCCCTGCTCATGAGTGGGATTAGAAGTGCTCGTGAAATCCCAACTGTGTGCTGTCACAGTCAGCATTTCTGCTGCTATAGAGAGAACCTCTGTGGGATTTCTGAAGCAAGGGAATGTTTTTATGACTAATTAAGGGATCCAGAGTTGTGTCAGAAGCAGCCTCTGTATTTTCTCCTTTCTTTGGACTTTCCTGAACAAAGTTTTCTGCATAGCCCTTCTGGAGCCCTGCTCTTCTGCTTGGAGGCCCTGGAAGGGACCCAAAACGTGATCTGTCGTTTCCTCCTCCTTGGAGGCCTATCTGGACCGACCATTTTACTTTCTCTCTCAGCGCTGTGCAGCAGCTCAGCATGTGAGGCTCGAAACAGGCTGGGGAGTGCTGTAAAGGTTTACTGTGGCACATCCAATCCCTTTTAAGTGTTGACATCATGTAGAGGAGAGGAAGGAACTATCAATTTGTGTAGCTTTCATCCAACCAATTCTGTTTTCTGTCAAGGGAAATTGCAGTAAGTTGTTGCCTTTACAGTACTCTTAGGTACATTTGAAGTTCTGAATAGATTTGACACTTCTCTTTTTTTATTTTTTTAAGAAGAAACAGCAGTTTTGTTTGCTCTAGGATCCTCAAGGGTGAACAGATTTTCCTAGGCAGGAGAAAGACGTGCATGGACGAGGTACCGAGAGAGAAAGGGAGGAGCATTTGTGGGAGTATCTCAAGAGTTTTAAGGCTTCAGTTTTGAAATGATGGTCTTGAAATACAATAAATCAGATTTTCTCAAAGATATTTGTGCGGTCATCATTGCTTGAACGTTAGCTCTGTTTAAGCAATTAGCTCCATTAGAAGGCTGCACATGGGCACTGAGAATTAAAGCAGGAAGGTAATTTCCCTTTGCAGAGAACTTCATGCAGATTGTGCTCATCCTTTTCTCACGCTGTAGGAGGTCTGGGACACGTGCTAAGACCGTGTGTTGGTGACTTGCAAACCTCCGTAAGATTTTCCTCTTCTATCCTTTGCAGTCTAGAAAAGTGTCAATAAACGCTAAGTTAGCAAAGCTGCTGTAAATCCTTCTAATATTTCTTTTGCGTTACAACAGCATTGCTATAACCTTCGGCCAAATGGGCAGATTACGGTGAGCGAAGTGCTCGCTTGTTATCTTCTCTTTTGATTAGCCGTTGTAACCTATTGATGTTAACTTGCGATTAGCTTTTGTTCTTGTAAATATTTTCAGGGTTCAGGCCTTGTAATATTTTTCTCACTTGTTTTTCAGCTCCTAGTTTCAAAATGAAACTGTTTGCTATGTATACAGTAGCGAGGCAGTCTGTTTACATTTTGTTGGGGTACTCCAGGAGCTGTTTACCCACCCAATGTAAGCCTTTACTGGGGGGGGGGATGATTTCATTTCCAAATGAATCATAGTTTGGCTTTGTTCTTTTTAACAGAATGAAGTAAACTGTTATGTAGAGGATGATATTTCCTTTGCACCTTTTATAGCTAACACGGATTTTGTTTGGGTTATTCTGTCTGTTAACCCAGCAAGGTTATATTTTTGTCATTCGGTTGGGTTGCCAGCGTGCGTTGTCAGGACTATCTGAGTTAGGTTGGGATCCTTTTATGGGCTTTTACTATTATAAGACTATTACGACATCAGTTAGTTGTGGGGCTGAACTTGAGGGTAGAATATGGCCTCGTGTGACCTTTTTACTTGTATAAAATGGAGTTTATTGTACTTACCTGTCTCACAGGTACTCTGTGGATTAATGGACGAGTAGTAAAAAGAGTTCTCAGTTACGCAGGCGTATCCCCTGTTATGTTCAGGACATCGACATGTGAAGAGCAAGGAGCTTTTAGCAGTAAAAATGCAATGCTTTACTCAGAAGATCGAAAGCTGTATATAGCTCTTATTATTTTTATTCTTCATATTAAAACTTACGGTATGTTTTTATCATTAGTTCTTGCACCACCAGTAAGTTAAACTCTCTTGAGCTTAGAGATTTTCTGTTGTTGACTTCAGAAATTTCCAGTATCAGAACAAACAATAGGGTAAGTTAAGCACGCGTTGGACCTATAGCTACGCATCCACGCCTGCTAAAATCATTCAGTAATAACATGATACTCTCTGATTTTGTCTTGTCATTTTGCTGGAGATTGAAATATTTATTTGGATGGTGTAGTTTTGCAAAAAGACCGTTCATAACACACAGCGGTTCTGTTTCAGATTTAATATCGGTGCGGAATTGGAGTACATAAATTTAGAATTACAAAAAAATAAGTTGTTCCCTGTACATTGCATTCAGGCTTTTATTTAGCTCTTTATAAATATTTTAATATAGTGCATTTTTCATTGCAAGATCTTTTTTTAAAATTTAAGAATCAAAAAGATTTTCTCTCACTTTTCCTTTTTTACAATGGCAACATGTTTAAAATCCAAGCATAAAACTAGAAGTTTGATAAACATGCAGTCTGAGATGCTTTGAATATTTCCAAGTTACTTTTCACTATTTCCCAGAGTGAAACTCCTTTTACTAGAAGAATTCTTATGGGAAAGCAGAGTTGAAAGGACTGACATCATCAGCCCTTCCTGAAAAACAGATTGGTTTCCTTTAAGTAACACTCACTTAAGAAACCACCTATTTAGAGAGAGGCGGATAAAAATAGTTTCAAAGAAAATTAACTGTATAATAACTTAAAGCACTGGAAGGCGGTTCCTTTCCAAAATTTAACTTGAGAGCTGTAAACACGGGTTGAAAACAGTTGTTAGAAAAGTCCCTATTAAGCTTTAATTTTTCTCTGTGTAAACTGTAGCTTCTCTCTCCACAAAGTAATTTTTATGAACATGTAGAAACGGCCAAGCAAGCTCGATTTCTTAAAAAATTGACTTGTAATGCTTCTCCTTGTGCATCATTGCACGCTGCCACTGCATCACACTTGGCGATTTTTTAAAAAAAATTATTATTTAAACGTATTTTCAAGTGATCTCTGGAGGTCACAATCTGTCCCCAGC